AGATCTGATGTAAAAAACGATTGATATACAGTATGCTACTTTGTACTGAACAAACCTGAGCAATGAATGTGGACGTACTGTATAGCAAGTTAAGTCATGATCCTCCAAGTTTCCTAAAAGGATAAAAAAATTTAGATCAATGTGTAGATGAATGAACTATTTGCAGTGTTCTTGCTTCTCCACTCACAAGATTTGTAGCTTCTCTTTGTACTCCAAAGCAGAGCTCTGTGTTTTGGACAAAGTTCTTGGCCTTTCTATAACAAATATCAGGAAAGGTGTAGCAGAAGGTAAGAGCACTGGACCATAGCTTTGCCCAGTATTATAGTTTATATACAAAAAGTACTGAGACTGCTTGACATCTCCATTCAGTCACTTGTCACTTGAAAAGCATCATTAAGTGAAAGACATTTTTTGTAATTAGAAAAATACAAATTTTAACGTGAAGGACTGCGCTAAAAAACTGCATATTCAACTGAATGCGTCCTACTTTTTTTAATCACGTATCTTATTTACCTTCAGATCAGGCAGGTAAAGGTTTCTTTGCAATAAATTAATGCTCTTCATTAGGTCACTGAACATATTGTTCACCCATGCAGTTATACACATGTAAAACTCAAACAGTTCTTCACTGATGTGTCCAGTGTGGTCAGCACTGGGGTCCAAACACCAACGAGGTATCCAGTGCTGTCAAAAGTGCACTTTTAGAGCAACTAAATCCCAAATACAGTATATATATACTGCATAACAAAATTGATAATCATTTGTTTGAGTAGCTCTATTGCTGGCTGTTTCTACATTAACTGTTAGATATGGTTTTGAAAATCAATGCATTTTGAATTGGGGGTATGCTTATAATGTAAAAGCAAGTTTTTCTCGGTAAGAGCATTTGTGAAAATGAAAAAAAGTTAAGCAGATAGGTTTTTGTTTAAGGAACAGCTGACACTTATATTTAAAAAAAAGCATAATGGGAGAAGAATCATAAGCTTTGCACATGCTTTACTCTTAATATCTAATGTGCTTTATAAAACAAAATACTGTGTGTATACTCTGTGGGTATATACTGTATATACTATATAAAGCAGGTTCTACTGTATACAGTATGTTTATAGGTGTTTTTTTTTTTACTTGGATGACTTAAGAAATTGTAAGGCTGAAGTTGCAACTCCCAGGATGTTCAGAGCTCAAAGCATCCGTAGCTCAGGGATTAATAAATAACTCCATCTGAAAAGAGCCAGCATTGAGGACTGCATTATTTATCACAGAACTGTAACGCCATACCCAAGTTGACAGTAAGACCGAGTAAGGTCAAGGTGATCAAGAACTGAAGAGACATACTTGAAGGGATACTTAGAGCTTTTGTTTGTTTTATGTGATTGTTTTTATCCAGTTGATTTCTCTCAAGTTTCTTTTCTGGTTCTTGAATATTGTTTGAGGGAAAATCTTAAATGAAATTCTTCTCGTATTAATTGCAGTAAATCTTTTTCTGCAATATACAGTAGCCCGAATCCAATCCCGTGACTATGGGCAGTAGTTTAGATTCGTTGCACTGTATCTGTGATCTTCTAACTAATAGGTTATCATGTTACTGATGAGCAAATGATAAGCAATCATGCCATTACTGTATGCAAAGTGAACCTCTATTTTTTTGAAAAAGCACACTTCTTCAACTGGTCTTCCATTATTAAGCTTTCTTATATTTCAAGCTAAAATGAATCAAGTCGAACTGAGGAAAACAAAGTCCCTTCACAGTGGGGAACTACCATTGCATACAATCTACATTTAGATTGTAGATCGAGTACTCTCGAAGTCAAGACATGGGTGCATATAAAAATGTCGACAGACGATGTGATGTAAAACGGACCTATGCATTTGGAAATGCTTTACAGTGGGGGCCATGGTTATCGACATCGTTATATCATAGCTGAATTTTAGGATCACCTCTGCATCCACCAAGCTCAAAACAGTGATGACTTACTCAAACAAGGATGTGTTTTTCCTCTTTCCTGCACAAAAGGAGTAAGAGTATATACTGTACACACTGTTAGCTCATCTTCATGATAAAAATAATATCATGGTTGGTACACACAGGTATTGATTTGCACATTTGTAACCTTCCCAATCGATTATTGCATCTCTGTACAGTATATGCTCATTTACTTTCCCTTGTGCTCCATGACTGCACATACTTTTATGTCCTGTCATTTTCACACTAGAAACACGTTTAAATTTCCTTCAGTTACAGTAGATATTCAATCCATCCTCCAGGGTCTCGACCACACACAAATAGACCTTTCTAATTCATTATAATAAGTGCTACAAGTGTGTCATGAGACTCACAGTAATATGATGCTTGCGTCTCCTTACATTAATATTAATTTTGTGGTTGTGAAATGCTTAAAAGAACTAAACAGTACAATTTCAAGTATCCAACCGTTAAAGAGGGCATATTAAAAGGAAATTCTATATTAAGTGGCATTTCCTTCGATGAGTAACACATTCCAATAAATATGCAAAAAAAAAGTTTAAAAATGAAGTAAACTGCATTTAAAAATGACGTTGAGCATCATACGATTACTTCACCAAAAAAGCTAAATATTGTTTATAAGAAATTTTATGAAAATGCATTAATTCTCCATGTCTGTAGTACACTTAATACCTAGTGATCCACACAGCCCATGAGGACTCCCAGAGAGTCCCAATGTGCCTTGTGGGTCATAATGTACAAACAAGCAGCATGAAGATCCACGTACTGACTTATATTTGAATTCTCATTGATGGACTGTGTTTCAACAGACTCTCTATAGCTGAATTCTTTTCCATCTCAAGCTTATCTTGAGAGTCCTCCAAAAATTGATTTTGGAAAGGGTTTATTTCACTGTCTATCTTATTTGGGTTTTAAATTATTTCTGGCACTGAAGAAACAGTATTGTGTTTTTACCTGTGGTGAAATGACTAGAAACAGTTGCAAGATATTGACTCAGCAGCCAAGCTCATAAAACGAATGAAATACAGTATATGTGCAACCTTGGGGAAGAGGTGGGGGGGCTGAATTTTAAAATGCAAATCCGTCTTGGCATTTTGTCTGAATCTCACGTTTAACAATTTTTATACTAATCTTCTTGTTTCTCATTCTCATGACTAATGCTGTAGTTCTCTTTAAGATAAATATGGTTGTCTTGCAGATGAATAGAGCAGCATATCACAGTTTTGCTGGTTTTGCAACCAGTATTCAATCATTTCTGTTCTTAACACCCATCCATCATCAGAAAAACCTCCTTGCAGCTTCACCACACTAAGAGTTGTTTAATATTATTGAGCTTTGAGGCTGCTGTTTTTATTGGCACCATGTAGTCATTTCTACTGCAAAATATAGTTTGTACAGTTCAGTTAGTGAACTGTTTAATTAGCATATACTGTCTTCTAAGCATATACTGTAGCATCCATATACTTTGAAATAACTAAAAATACATTTGATATTTTTGGATAGCAAATAATGCATCCACACTTTCACAGCCTTCATTTGAATGATTTATAAGCCATGTTCTGCAAAACTACACTGTGAAGTAGCCTTTTATGCATAGAACTGTCTAGAATGCAATATGTAGTTTGAAAACTAATTTTAACTATATAGAGAATAGTTTAGGAAAACTTTTTTTTTATCTGAACAGTGTTTCTCTCTCTTGATATACTCAAAGGAGAATTAAGCACCATAATAAAGTAAAAATATCACTACAATCTTAAATAAAACGCTTAAACATCCATTTACAAAATATTTTTTAAAGTTGTTTATTTGTAAGCATCTAAGAATCACAAGAACAAAAATAATAGACTCTGTTGATCTTTTGAATGTTCTTGGGCACTGCTCTTGCTAATAGCCCTTTCATAGGATCCGGCTTCTGCGATTAGTTTGCCAAATGAGAAAATGTAGCTGATCCACTTAATCACGGTGGCAGCCAAACAGTGCTAATGTTCTTGTTATTGTAATAGGTGGAAGATTACTGTAAGTGGGTATAGCTGACTGTCCCAAAAATAATCATTTTTAAAACCTGCATCAGAAGTCTTGCCCTGCTGTTGGTTTGTAACGCTCAGTGAATTGGAATGCTGAATACTAAACAGATTTCTATCCATAAATATCAAAACACAGGATTTGTGCCAGCTAGGTGCTAGGGTTCAAGGAGTGCTGTCCCTCATCTGTGAATGTTTGTCTCTGCCTTGTCACACTGCTGTAGGCCTTCTCTAGTTCAGACAAATGATTTGAGTCAAATGATCCACTCAATATACTGTACTTGTCACTGCACAAGGAAGTGCATGGCTTTGACAACTGATGTCTATTGGGACAAAGTGGTCATTTATGTTTCAGATACTTAATATCTTTATGACCCATATGAACATGCTGCATAGACTGATGACTTTTATTAAATTGGTAAGATAATTCCACGTGTTTTGGGGGCTTTTATGTGTACTGTACATGTATGTATATGTGTATCAGGTTCAGTAGCTACATCAGCATGCGTAGGCTGCAAAGGGACAAGTAATACGTTAATTCCATGCTGAAAAGAGAAGAAATAAAGGTGGAGCCTTCTTTAGGTGTAAGAAAGATTCAGACAGAACCACAGATTCACACAGCTATCTTCTGTACAGCTCATTTCACCCCAAACACGAAAAAACTCTCCCTTTTTCACAGTTCCTTCGGCTGCGACGATTCTGCAGTGATGACATTGATTTCCAGAACATAGCACTCAAAATGCACTCTTTTTTCATCAACAGAGGATAACCCCCACACCACCCCCATGTTATTGATAGGGCCCTCACTCGAGCCAAAAATAGCCCCTTACACCCGAAGATGGCTCCACAGCCGAAACATTGTTTTCTTTCTTCTCTTTTCAGCATGAAATAAGCCTATTACTTGTTCAGACATTTGTTTTAGTCTTCTCTAAAATGGATATTGAACTCTTGTTGAACTGTGATAAAACTCGTCATGCTTCCCTGTGTCTTTGTAGGTCTAGTGATTATGGAACAACTTATACCAAGTTGAACCTGATGCCTGGTACCACAATTGTTGTCACCAACTTTTACATCTGCCCCACCAACAAGAAAAAGGTAAGCCTGTCAAAAGACATTTGACATTTACTATTCCTCTCATGGTGCATGTTTTCAGCTCCGAAATCATACATATTTTCTAAGGTTCTTGTCTCACATACCACCCTTTAAGGTTACAATTGATTAGAATTAATCAAAATGGTAAATGCCCTAAACTAACTGCAGATACTCTACAGTAGTTATTAAGAACATGAACAATTGTATTTCCATAGCACTTTACAGTATATTCTAAAGGATCCCAAAATGCTTTACATTCATGAAAGGATGCTTTACTCATGCACTAGTAAATTTGCGGAGAACTGAAAAATCACCAGCTAGATTAATTGAAACTTTAGGTAGCCCAGATTGTTCAGGCACAGAGTTGAATTTAGCCAGGACACCAGGGTCTAAACCCCTAATCATTCAAATGGGGTTGTGGGATCTTTAATGAACCAGTAGTCAGGACCCCAGTTTAATGTTGCATTCAAATAATGGAGACCGGTCTTGTGTGTAAAATAAAATATGTTCTGCAGGCCATAAACAATACTGACAACAATAACATGAAAAAACAAAAAGTGAAGCTTAGTCACAGGATAGTACTCTGACTGTAATTTTAGTCCTAGACGTCTCTTATGGACTTAAGAGCTTCAGCCAAAGGTCAGTCAGGATTGTTATAAACAAAACAATAATCCGCAGGGATTTTGCTTCTGTTCCAATCTATAAAATAATCAGGATATAGGATTGACAGTCGCTAATTGTCTGGGAATCAGTGGTTAATTTCCCTGTGGGGACTATTAGAGTGAGATGAAAGAGCTGCAGCATAAGCCTGCTTTTCTCTGCTTCTTCCAGTTTTAAACTATGATAGTAGCTAGAGTTAAACTCTACAGATTCAGCATCAAAATAAATTCACTTTTTTAAAACACAACAAATTAAAATTAAAAAAGATGTACAAAAATAGGCATACTCAATTGACATAGAATGTAAGGGCACAATAAATTGTTCTCAAGTGAAGTCGTTTGGAACCCACTGTAGAGCAGCTCAGTAGCACTTTACTTGAATCAAGCTAAGCAACACTGTTATAACCACTTCATAAGCGCTATACAACATGATAAAACAGGTATAAAAACCCTATAGCAAAATTAAGTTTCAGATTAATGTGCTATTTAATAAGGATGGCGTGCAAATTCATGGAGTGTTCTATATTCTCTTTAATTAATCCAGGTGGTTTGAATGGCTTCCTGTCATTAAACATTCTGATATTCTTCTTCCTTGACTGCATCTGCATGACGTCGGCACTCCTTAAAGTTGTCTTCCATTTTCACCTCACCTCCCTCTATCTGGAGTTCTTCCTGTAGCTTTTCTGTTGAAACTACGTCTATGTTATGAACCGTTAAGAATAATTGAGTGCCTCTTATGTCTTCTGCACAAATAGTAGTAAAGAATTCTGATGTTATATAAGCTTGTGTAGTTTTTGCGAAGGGGTTATTTGTTGGTTTTTTAGCCTCTTTCAAGCAAGTGTCTTTGGCTTACCTTTACAAAGTACATAATCTGAGCGTGGTTATAAAAAATAAAGTATCTATCAATGAAAGAGACATTTACAGTATGCCACAAAACCGTGAAGCAGAATAAATGACTTAACACATTTGCAACAGATTACAGGGGCATGTTGGGAATGATGGTTCTTTCCTATAGTATATAGAGTACCATGATGTTCAGTTAAAAGAAAGTCAGCTACATTTGTGAAACTCATCATATAATCTCATTTTTAACCTTTTTTATGTTAAGACAGCCCTCAAACCATTTTTCGAATCGAACTCTAATTCACTTCATCCTTCTTTTTCTAACGCAGTTTGCCAGTATTGTTTTATTGTCCATTCAATCTGGAGAAATAGTTCATGGCTTTTCCTGAGCTGTAATGAAGATGTGCACTATGGTTTGAATCAAAGGTCATTGATTTCAGACCAAAATGAAAGCAGTTATGATGCTAATGATGAGTCAGTAATAAAACCAAATGAAAAAAAGCTCAAATATGAAAATGTATTAATAAACTTTGCTCTCCAGAAGAATATCTTTATATAATATAATTGTGATTTTCAAAATAGCATACTTGCTCTTTCTTGGAATTATGTGAATAAAGGTTTAAAGTAACATAGTGTTAAAAATGATTCATCAGTTGTTTGAATGGCCTTCTGCATACATGCCATTTTGAGTTGTCTCATTTGTAAGGAATTATATATGAACAATTATAATATTACATTAAAAAGTGAAAGGTAAGATACACTAGAAACAAATATCACATTGTATCTTTCCCTTTGACAAAAATGTATGATTTTGTCAAATATACAAGCTATATATGCTCTTTTTCTGTTTTTTAAACAACCTCAGTGACTTTTTAATTTCTATGTGGTACTAGGTGAATGCTACAGCTAATCGGACAGGTCTAATTCTTATTTCAATAAGGTCAAGGAGTATTTTTAATTTCAAAGTTATTTAATAAAACATGGAGACAAAATTAATGCCAAGATCTTATCTTATATTCAAGTTTTCTTTTGTGAATTTATGACAAACACGTGATAGGATTAACAGACAATCTTTTTTCTGCATTAATTGATCACGTTTCCTGGTAACTGTAAACCTGCAAATGCCTTTGGTTGTAACTCTCAACCTGCAGCACAACAGGGAAATTAAGTGAATATTAACATGGAGTTGTGGCAAATGAATTTCCCAGATTTTGCCACTGTGACTTCAGTACATTCACTGACACATTCACCTCTTTCAGGTGCTACTGTATGTGAACTTGGAAAAAAGTCAATGCTGTATGCATGTATAATCGACATGTCTGACAGCAGTGATGTCGCAAAGTGTGAGTGGTGCCCCACTGTGACGAATTCCAAGGAGGAATTTTATAGTCACACTCTGTACTTCAGATGTGTACTGTATCTTGACATTGAATTGTGGAGAGAATAGCAAAAGTGCTATTGCCAGGGTTTACATTTATGGAGAAAGTTTTGTGCACAAATGTTTTTGTGCTTTGTGAGACAGCTGTGAACTCAATTTGTTTAGAGGGATTTTTGTTCTACTTAACAAACTGTGCTGAATCGGCACCCAACTTTGAGTGATTGTCCCTCAGTATGCCCATAGCAGGTTATATTTCTCTCTTCATTTTACTGATAAAATAATAACTGAAGGAAAATACATCAGCCCTGTGTAGATGACTTTCATACCATATTGCATTGGTTTCTCACTCTAAGCACAATAAGGGGGGCATCTGTATTTATGAGGCTTTACTACCATAGGCAAGTTCAGATAATTGACCCTTAAACAAGCAGAACATGAATGATCTGGTCTAGAAATCTAAACATCCTTTCCAGTTACTATACTTCCACATTTTCATGGTAGAGTGAAGTGGGGCTTTGGAAGTTAAGAACGCATATTGCACTGTATTTTGATGTTAAACAAATGCCTACTGTTAAACTTGCCTTTATGCATGCATGAATTTAATTAAACACACAATCCTTTTTTATAAAAGACTAAAGTCATATATTTGTGTAAGATATTTTGCACAGAATTTCACAATTTGGGATTAACTTGTTGTGGTAAGTAATATTTTGACATCTATTGAAGTATTTATAGGCTTTAAAGGTGTCTTCTGAAGGATTATTGTTATGTCAGGTGCTCTTTGCATGCACTACAAGAGTATTATAAACTACTGTAATTTAGAAATTGAGAAAAAGAGACCTTTAATGAAAACCTGAGTGTCGAAAGTGACTTATTGAGTAATGGAAGAGAACAATAATGGATTTCTCTCTCTAGCATGTTAAATTTGAAGTCTACAGTAATAGTGCCTTTACTCTTATCATCTGAGAGAAGTCCCACTGTCCCCACATTTGACCTAACACCTACATTTTTCGCTGGTAATTCTTCCATTAAAGAATGATTTTTATCTCTAAGGTTCTGAAAGCACTTTACCGTGTACTGTAGGATGGGACCCAATTACTGTTATTCACCATTAAAGTACTCCACCGAGAATGGTGTTGTATCTGGGTTTAGTAAGGCAACCATTATGTGCCAACAGACCCACTACTCAGTGGATCATGTAGAGCAGTAAAACATTTCTCCACAGCTGTGTGCTTGTACAGTTAGCTAAGGGTATATCATACACAAACATTAAAATATACCCAGGACAGTGGGGTTAACATGCCCAATCTTTATGAAAAAGACCGTGAAATCTTTAAAAAGGTCAGAACCTTGGTTTTATGTCTCATCTAAAGGATAGCACCTCCTACAGTACAGTGTTTCTGGTCACTATATCGAGGCGTTGATTTAGAAATTCTGGCCCGGACAGAAGTGTGTCACCTACGTCTCCAACATCACTTACAGCAGCTGTTTTTTGTTTGAAAACTAGGTCCAGTCTTACTTACATTAGTTTCTTAAACCAACAAGATCACAGTGCAGGGTGATATCAACAACTACATCTAAATACATGCACAAGTAACAAACTGTCTGGCAAACATAAAAAGAGAAATCCTTTATTTCCTCAATGATAAAAAATACAGTTCTATAAATTTAAAATGAATCCCTTCAAAATTCCTGATAAGATTTATTTCAGCAATGAATCAAAACGGTGCAGATTTACTGTGCCAGAATTTGATCCCTGCTGTCTTATTTGCTTCTCTCTTTCTCTCTGCTATTATGCTGTCTTTTCTAGTCAAGTGCAATGTTGGTTACATGAGCTTGACTGGTCAGAGATTGGAAATTCCATCCTCTTAAATTGTCAAGCAGCTGGTGTCTACTCAGCTGTTTATCAGATTACCCCTAACTGTGAAGGTTAACTGTTAGGCATGGTGACCTGAAAAGCAACTGATTTTTTTTTTAATCATTAAATTATTTAATCCTTTACTCAAGAAAAGAAAACATTATAAACTTCTACTTTGCACTTATTATTTTCTTAAGTTTTTCAAAGTAGATACAGATCAGTAGTTAAAATCTTTTCAGGAGGTCCACAAGAATGAAATCAGTAA